ACTTTCAGTTTTGGAATTTGTCTATGACCAATCTGTTACAGGTATTACAGTGGCAATTGGGATTTTGCAATGCGGTGACCATAGCAGGCCATCTCGTGCATTTCCTTCTGTATGTTGGGCATGGCTGTGTGGAGAAGGCTGTCCAGAAGGGCAACAGTTCAAAGCTCAGAAGTAGACAGAAAAAAATGTGAAGTGCTCATGTATTTGTTAGGGGAGTCCGGTTTTAATTATTTTCTTTTTCAGCCCTGATTCTGCAATGCAGTCGTGTCTCTGAGTTAAATAGGGTGCTGGATGTGAACAAATGCTGAATCTGCCTATTGAGTGTGTTTATAGAGTCACTTCTGGCCATAGAATGGTGTAATCCAACTTGGATTGCTTTGATGAAAAATGCTGTGATTTAATGCTTTTTTGCATTGGCCTTGGATGCCATTTAATGTCTACACCTATACAGTGAGCGACCTCAAGACTGCAGTATCTCACGAATAGCATGTCCCACAATACTCTGAAAAGCATGTTTGCTGTAGGACTAATATTTGTAATTTTTGCACTGTAAAACAGAGCTCCCACAGAGTCAGCTTTGGGCATGACATGTAGAAATTGTTCCTTGCCTCCTCAGTTTGGTTATACAAATCTCCATCTGGTTCTTCTATAATTCATTTCATCATGAGGTTAGCACTATTTCTGCATCTCAAAGGGACTTTACTGAATTTTTCATTGCCCTTAGCCAATGCAGCATCACAGATACTGTTGACTCATCTACAGAACTTGGAAAAAGTTGTCCTACCTTCCATCAAATCTTTCCTTCTATGGGAAGATCCTAAAGACTGACATGGGGAGTTGTTTGTTTTCCTTCTGGAGTCTCCCAGTTTCAGTAATTAGCTTGGAAAACTGACATGTTTGGAGCTAGTTTGGTATAGTGTTGTGGTTTTGCTCCAGCTGGCAGCTAAGCACTACATGGTTGCTTGCTGGTGGGGTGGCATGTCCTGGTAGAAAAAGCCTTGACTTTCTATAAGCACTATTCAACAATAATGAAAACATCTCTATCAACACCGTTTTCAGCATAAATCCAAAACGTAGCCTCGTACTAGCTACTATGAAGAAATTAACTCTATCCCAGCAGAACAGTAATTAAGATGTTAATTCTACCATTGTTTTATCCATCAGGATAAACTTGGATGTTTATAGTCTTTGAGTGTGACAATAAGCAAGAAGTCAGGACTTTGGATGGGAAAATACAATATCTATTTTAAATTCACAAAAGATAGGCAATATTCAGAAGAGCTAATAGCGATCTCCCTCTCTGGAGATATTCAAAACCCTCCTGGATGCCATCCTGTGCAATATACTCTAAGTGATCCTGCTCTAGCAGGGAGATTGGACTAGATGATCTCTAGAGGTCCCTTCTAACCCCTACCAATCTGTGAATCTGATTTATTTGTGCTTAATCCTACTAAGCTGTAATTAGGGCAAAATTTCCATTAGTCTCTAGGAGCAAAATGACTGTTGTAGAGTGTTACTGGGTCTGTAAACTTGAATTCCAATAGTTTTCAGTGGAGGCATTTTGGTATGTGACAACTGAAAATTAAACACTCCATCTTTGTTATACGTGTCTTATCTAATGACATTTCAGATATGTCCCTTAGGGAACTCTTACACTTAGAAACAATGCCTCAATATAATTATCTGTTCAGACTAAATACAGGAAGCAAATATTAGGTGTACATGTTTTACTGATTTCTGTATCCTATCACTACCTCATGCAACATGATCTCTTTACCCAGAAAAGTAAAGTTACTAAGGCTAATAACAATTTCAGAATACTTGATTATACATATTCTTTGGTGTGATAGATGAATGGCAAAGAAACCATAACCTTTTTCTAATCCATTCCAGTTACAAAAAAGACTTATTAATAAATCAAATTAGTCAAAATGCACTACATATAAATGCTACATTAAAAAATACGTGCATATGTGTTGAAAAAAAAATCCCCTCATTCTCACATTGAAAGGATCTTTCCTTTTCCTTCACTGTATGCATGCACCATCCTGTACTTGACTGGTTCTCCTTCTGTGTCTGTAGCTCCTTGTTGTGGGTCTCAGTGCTTTCCATTTCCTTAGATGACAGCCGTGGCTAATGTCTTCATTAATGATCTGGATGATGGGGTGGAGTGTACCCTCAGCAAGTCTGCATGTGACACAAAACTGGAAGGAGTGACTGATGGGCTGGAGGGTTGTGCTGCTGTCCAGAGGGACCTTCATAGTCTGGAGGAATGGTCTGACAGGAACCTCGTGCAGTTCAACAAGGAGAAATGCAAAGTCCTACACCTGGAGAGGAACAACCCTATGCATGAATGCTGGAGGCACCCAGCTGGAAAGCAGCTTTGCAGAAAAGGACGTGGGGGTTGTGGTGAAGACCAAGTTGAACATGAGCCAGCATCGTGCCCGTGTGGCAAAGGAGGCAAATTGTGCCCTGTGCTGTCTTAGAAGGACTATTGCCAGCAGGTCAAGGAGGGGTGATCCTTCCCCTCTGCTCAGCACTGGTAGGGCCACATCTGGAGTCCTGTGCCTAGTTTAGGGCTCCCCAGTACAAGAGACACATGAATGTACTGGAGAGAGTCCAACATCAGGAAACACCTTTTTTTTTAACGGCAAGGGTGACTGAGCCCTGGCACAGGTTGTCCAGGGAGATTGTTGAGTCTTCCTCCTTGGAGATACTCAAAAGCTGTCTGGACATGGTCCTGGGCAACCAGCTCTAGGTGGCCCTACTTGAGCAGGGGGTTAGACCAGATGACTTCCAGAAGTCCTTGCCAACCTCAACCATCCTGTGATTCTGCAAAGCTGGAGTGGGAGCTGCTGTCTAGTGAACAGCTGTTTGTTTGATTTCTGGCTCTCCTTCCTTCCCTTTCCTCTCCTGCTCCCCTCCACCCTCGTAAAATTTTTCTGACTAGCAGGACATTCTGGTAAGAAAATGATATTATTTCCACATGAAAAGTTGGTGTGTGATTATTGATATGATTTTAGTATCAACCAAGGACAATTTCTTATGATAATATTGAAACAATTTGATGGGAACCTACATCTTTACCTAGTAAAAGAAGGGGCCAAATTCTGTTTCCAAAGACTATTGTAATGTATCATTCTTCCTTTTCATCCTTTTTATCCTAACTGAATGGCTTATGGATTCCTGAGCTAGGATATCTGATTAAAAGGCATTTACCTACATTTAAAAGAATTCAAGCTTGCATCATATATGACAGCTGATGTATTTTATAAAAGGAACACTATGACATCCTGTCATCATTTGGGCTCTCTTTTAGATTAATCTGTCATCTATATATAATTTCTAAGATGAACAAACACCTCTGTCAACATTTGACCTAATGTTTTGAGCTCTGGGTTTTGGATTGATGTAGAAGAAAGTTCATATGGCTTGAGCCCCTTTAGAGTGTCATCTGTATCATCTTTGCCTCCCTGGAAGATTTTTTGTAGCCTTCAGCTGTGCTTAGAAACAAATTAGTAAAGAAATTTCCTCTGAATTAGACCTGAACAGAGCACTATGAAATTCAGGACTGGGATTAGAAATTCATGGTTAGAAAATATCCAATTGTGAAAGCTAAAGAGCATTGGTAGGGACGCCTACCAGGCAGGTGGAGTGAATATGGAAGATGTGGTTTTAGCCCTGGGAGCGCACATGGCTTGGGTGGTGACTGGCAATAGCAGTGGGATGAAAGGAAAATACTAAAATCAAGAAAGGCCCACAGAAGAAAAAAAGGTTGTACAGGAGTGGAGGAGAGGAACATTGTGAATACAGAACAGAGGAGGTAAAAAGCAAGAGCTGGAGTCTGGCAGATGAAGTCTTCAATGTTGGGGGCAGCTTCTGGGCCTGCTCTCTCCTGTAACCTACTACATCTCTCCTGGTGGTTTAATCAAGAAGGAGTTTGCTCCTGTGCCATCTTGGATAACTCAAGATTAAGGCAAAGAGCTTCAAGAACAAGAGAAAGATGTCTTCTAGACACCTGTTTGCTGCTGCCTTGAGCTTCATCCATACCTTCAGAGCTGTTTCTGAGCCTTTAAGGGTTGATAAAATGTTCGATAATTTTTCCCCCCCTGTGGTTACTGGTTGCATGCAGCACATGGAGATTGCCATCTAAATTCACGTTTGGGGTAGGTGCTGGGAGTTGCCCATAGTAAGAATGGGAAAGAAAGATAGATGGATTGCTTGCAACAGAATGGCTGGGGGGGAAAAAAATAATCTGATTTTTAAGTCATGAGGCACAGATACATTCAGGGTTCAAATATACATGTATATTATACACCTTGGAGATACTGGTTACTGGTAGAATATTTAAAAAGCTGGGAGGTGGATCTACTGATGTTCAGATGGGGATGATTAAAAATTGCCTTATTGGTTTGGGTCTGTCTTTTCAAACAGAATAAGCTATATAAATTCTCATCCTGATTTTTGCAGAATGTGTGAAAAGGGAGTTAACCCTGAAACCTGTGTTTTCAGCATGATATTTGGGCTTTGCTCGAAGCTGGTGCTGTGCTGTCTTTGTGGGCAAACCCAAGCTTTGGTCCCGCACTGGATTAACCAGTCATGTTTTAGTGTGACCATCTGCGTGCCATTGGTGCAGGTTTTGTGGTACCGGTTAGGCAATACTGCAGCCTATGGTTAATATGACCCTTAAAAAAATAAACCCGAAAGCCCAAACAAACAAGAAAACCCCAAACCATCAAGAACCAGAATTCTTCTTAAAATGCAGGTCAATTTTGCTCAAAATACCTGTTCAATGTCAATCTCCCTGGTCGTCTGCTCTCTGAAAACACATCCTGTTTGCAATAGCATTAACCCATGAAAAAAAAAAACATTGTCCGTTTAATTTTAAGAGGGGCAAATCCAAGCTGCCAGCTTCAAAGCTCTCTACTTTGATTGCTATGCACATGGGACAGTTTGAAATATACACTTCAGAAGCTAATGAAAGACAGAAGCCTTACTGTGTTCCCAGTTTGGCTTAGCACTTTGGGTTTAACGTTAGACAGTGGCAGATGGTCTGAAAAATTCGGCATTTGCATAAAGCACAGTAGCTACAACATGAATTCAAGTGTGGTTTGCAGGTTTTGAAGTTTGGCACACAGTCAGCAGCTGGTGTGGGCCTTGGCTTCGGGGATATCTTCCGTTCAGCATTTTTCTAGAAGAAAAAATATGAAAATTTATATAAATGTAAAATAAGTATGGGTCAGAATAAAGCATAGGTGCAAAGAAAGTGAACTGTGGGAGCTTCTGGCTTGAGATGAGTAGGAGGTTGCTAGCAGTGAGATCTATGTTAGTAGCAATATAGAGATGCGGTGGGACTGGATCATGGGAAATGCTGGCTTGAGACCAACCTACCGAGCAAAATGGTAAACCTCATGAGCCTTGTATTGTGAGCAATTAGAAAAATGACTGGATAGAGCATTGGAAAATGCTCTGTAGGGAAGAATGTGGCAGCAGCGAAGAAAGGGATGCAAGAATCTGCAAAGACGATGATGTTATCAGTAAAACAAAGAAATTACTCATGGATCCCCAAACTTTTCAAATGAAAGAGTGAAACCTCCCTGTCAATCTGTGGGGCTGGTACCCACTTTGTTTCCTGAGCTGTGAGGCTGAGGGCAGGTGATGGCAATGCTCTACCTCACGTGGTTTGTTTGTCAAGTTGCCTTTAGAGCTCGGTAATCCTTTGTGCATCAGATTTGTGCATGGGAATCCTTAAATGCAGACACAGCTGAGCTGAAAAATATCTCTCAGCCTACCGAAGGAGTGGTGCTTCTTTGTGATTTGGAATGATGGAAAACTTTGGTTTGATCAGCATGTGCCTGGGACCTGGGAGAGATCTCTGGAGCTCTCCAGCTACAGGCACCCTATGCACTTTTTTAACTTGGTAGTTTCTCAGGAGTTTCAATTTTAAGGTAAAATGTTCTGTGGTCTCTGAGTACCTTAGGAGCTTTTAAGCCAAAATACTTTGACAAAGTTCAATTGCAAGAATGTCCTGCTTTGAGCTGAAGGTTGAACTAAATGATGTCCTGAGGCCCCTTTCAACCTGGGTCATCCTGTGAATTTAGGAAGTATTTCAAGAAAGGTTAACCACACAAGACATCAACTAGAAAGGAAAAGAAGGAGCTCTAAATGTTTCTGGTTGCAGCAATAACTGGTGTGGCTATAAATGGCTATCATGACATATTAAAAATAAAGTAAAAATGCTATTTTCTACGCTTCTAGACAATCTTTAAAATATAGAAGTCTAGCCCATGTAATACTTCACATTTGAGAACTATGGATAACATCACATTAAGGAAATCTATCAATCTGAATCTACTGATCTGATAAAGTTGGTTATCATTATCAACCAAATACCAACTTCTTGGTATGCCTCTACTTTAATTTTTTTGGCACCTGCAGTTAAAAATCAGCAGATAGTGAGTCTGTGCCCCTGGACTGCAGAGCCTGCACAGTTAACCCACACGGTGTGACTGGGAATGATACCTCTTTATGGCAGATGTCTAAATAATTTTACAAATACTTAAACCAGCTCTAGGTTAAAGTACCTTTGTGTAAGAGAGGACTTTAAAAAACAAACAAACAAAAAAATCAAAGCAAAATCAAAACCAACAAGACTCCCAGACAATAACCTGCAACTAATCTAAGATCACATAGCTTGCTTTCCACCATTAATGTTTTGTATCTGTTTTTACAGTATTTAGAGCTACAAAAACTGTATGTAAATTATTTAAATTGGGGAATTGGCTGTAAAAGCGTTGCGAATGAATGGACTGAGGAAAACTATAGAAGTAATAAACCATTCTAATTCAACAATGTTTTCTGAACAGCCACCTACCTTGGATGATTTCTTGTTCTCTGCCTCTTTCCTGAATCTTTTAGTTAAATCTTCAAAGAGAGTAGCACAAGATAATATTAAATCAATTTTAAAGCACATGTGTTATTTGAGATGCTTAATGTTATCTTTCTGCGAGAGAAGGCAGATAACCTGCGTTTCCACCTCATCACTTCCTAAGACGTTCATCTCTAGGATCCGTCCTCACTTACACATAGCATGTCTGAACTCGTGCCATCGCTGTTGCTCGTGCGAAGCAGAAGAGCACTGATGTTTGTATGTTGGGAGGGCTTTTTTACACATTGTTTGGTCAAATGCAAAGAAGGAAAATAATTTCAGATTAATATAATTAAAGGTCCCTGTGTAAAAGATGGGGCTGCTTCTGTGCATTAGTCGTGTGAATAAAAATAGGAAAAATCTGTAGAATTCCATTTGTTTTTTTCTGTTAAAAGGTGGTGCTACCTGCATAACTTTGGCAGGAATTAACAAGTGTATGCTGGTTTTCACAAGCAAAAAACTCTTTGCTGATTTGGCATAAACTCTTCATCTGTATGATGCCACCTTTCATTTTTCAGTTCTTTGTTCCTTTTTCACCTACCATCTTGTTTTACAAAATGTTACTTGCAAAGGTGTTTCGTTAATGTGCCTATAGCTCTTAAAGGTTTGTGAATATTTGTAGAGTTGAATCTTGGATGTGATAAATTTAGGGGGAGGTGTTTGGACTTGGTAACTTTATTTTTCTTTAGATCAAATCACTAGTATTTGTGAACTTCCTCCTGTTATCCCCTGAGGGCTAATAGCATTTACTGCAGTTGTTATTATCATATCAGCTCTAATGCTACTTATTACTATATATAAACTTCATGACTAAGTCTTGTCTTGGGATCTAACACAGCAAGACTCTTAAATTGTGAGACACTTCCCAGCTCACTAATCTGTTATGGTATTTTTGATTCTATTCTGTGCGTGTGACGTTTATAATAAGCAGTACCTGTATATTATGAATGATTGACATAAAAAACTTACATGTCCCCATTGATGAATGCTGGCCCCTTGTCTATTCCAGTATTTACTATCCATACATTTTTGAATATTTAATAATTGCCAGGATTTACAGAATTATAGAATGAAGAATACACATTTTGGGCTGTTTGGGGGGGGTTCATTTATTATCCTTGCATCATTATAGTGAGGGTTATACATCTCTAAGAAACAGTGGGAGGAAGACCTATACTTCAGGCATGTAGTTATTGTCACTTATTAAAAGCACACCTTTAAAAAGGCATTGCACTAACTAGGATTAGTGGTTTAGATCCGGTTCCACCTGGCAGATTATGTTGGGTTTGTTATGCTTCCCTTTGAAACTTTCTGATGGTAACCAAGATACTTGTAAGCCATTTAATTCTACGTCAATTTAACTTTCTATAGTAGAATTGCACAGGATTGTCTAGATTGCTTTGCCTATAAAATCTGGCTGGGGCAAAACCACGACAATTGTTTTGATAATGTTCATTTAAAGGGTATATGATGTCATTAAACAGAGATTTAAACATTGGTGTGATGTAAATGTGCTTTAATTATTCCTGGGAATTCAGTAGAGAAGAAAATGATACCCAGTGGGCAGATGAGAGGGAAATGTAGAGATTTTTTTTGACAGGCAACTGCTGTAATTGTCTCTTCTATAGTTCCTCCGGGTTGGGTAAAACACCCACTTTTCCCAGCTGGCCTCTAATCTCATATTCCTCATGCTCTACTGACAGTATTTGCAACAGCTGCCTGACTGACCAGCTCCTTACAAATCTCATCTGTGACAATATGGGGAAAATGTAATACAGGCTTGTGAAAATATTGATAACAGACACCTCTAACCCCTGTTGATACAACTGTAATTTGAAGTACTATAAAAATCATGTATTAATTAGATGATTGCATGTTTTACTAATTGATGCTAGCAAATCCTCTGCTCACCTTTCAAGATGTGATTCAAGTCCAGTCTTGGGTTTATTGAATTTGAGCCAGACATATCTTTTGATACCATGAGCACTGTGATTGATTGACAGGTGTGTAAACAGCTGATTGCAAATGAGTTTTATTACTCAAGAATGGCTACAGCAATATTGAAAAACTGAGCTGTAACGTGAGTGCCTTCATCTCTGTTCTGTGTGGCCAACCAGAAGAATAGGACTTGATATAAGAAAACATCGCTCAAATAGGAAACTCTATCCAAAATGTTTAAACCAAGCTGACAAATTTTTCTGTTAGCTTATACAAGAATAGAATACGTATATTAACAGGACAAATTATAACTGATGAATCGTAAAGAAATTGACAGTATCAGGAGGGGAGAGGAGGCTGTGGTTATTTAAACATTCTCTTAATATTTGCTCTTAATTAGTTGTTTCTGTGGCAGTGATGGGAAAGACCAGCCTGTCAGCCTTTTGCCGTGACGCTGTGGTTATAATAAACATTACCACGTGCGGTTGGGTTTCATCCTCCCCCCCCCACAAGTGTTGTGGGGGTTTTGCTGGGGCTGCAGGCAGAGGGAGCAGCAGCAGGGCTGGAGGATCCACCTCTGCGCCTGCCCTTCCCACTTCTCTCTGGCTGCTTTTTCCAGCTGTTTTCCCCTATTTGCATTAGTTTCTCCCATTTCAACCTGTCCCCATCCTCTGCAGGACTGTCGTCAAGGCAGTCTCTCTCTCTCTCTAGCAACTCTCCCACTCATTTCGACACCCAGCGCCGTGAAGGGCACGGCTCCATTTCTTCACCCAGCTGCTGTGTATGAACCCGGCAAAAATCAGGGGAAAAGGATGGGCCTCCAGTTACGTCTTACAGTACGCTGGAGTGAGGCAGGCGACATTGTTCCCAGCTGACTTCAGTGACAATGGTGAGATCTGCCATCATCCTCCTGCTCTCAGCGGGAGTTGTCACCAGGAAGGTCCCTTGATCTGGTAACCAGAACCGCAAAACAGTGTCAGTGTGTGTCCTTTCTCCTCCACCTGCTTTCTCCACCTATTTGAAAGGTCATGGCTAGGGACTTTCATATGCCATGCATTAATGCATGCTTTCAATTAATTTATATTTAGTTTATTAAGTTATAATTATTTTAGTTATCAAGTGATGGAGGTAATATGGCTCCTGGCTGTCTAAAATAAAACCCGGAAAGGTTTGAGCATGTGCCATTTCAGCTCCAAAAGAAACTATTTAAAAACTTAGGTCAGATTCTATTGAATGAGAAAAAGATTAATGATTTGTCTCAGGTTTATTACTCACTTTGTATTTATTCAATATTCTTTAGGTGTGGGGTAGTGGAGGATCAGACTGGCCTCTCGCCTTTGAACAAGTGGGCTGCGGAAACTCCTTGGGATACCTCTGGAAATGCCTCGTGCCCAAAGAAAGTGAGTGCAGCCCTGGCCAATGATGTTACAATGGGGTTTGCATCTGTATTTTTCCTTTTTGGAACAGTCAGCTAAGACAAGTGAACTATGGAAGAGGTGAGTGTTATGCCAAGATCTGCTCTTCTGAGTTATTCTTGCATTTTCGGTGTCAAATGGTCATTCTGTTTGTATGCAGAGAATCATACAACGCTTTGGGTTGAGAAAAAACCTTAAAACCCAGCTAGTTTCACCCCCCTGCCATGGGCAGGGACACCCCCCACTAGCCCAGGTTGCCCAAAGCCCCATCCAACCTGGCCTTGAACCCTGCCAGGGAGCCAGGGGCAGCCACAGCTTCTCTGGGCACCCTGTGCCAGGGCCTCAGCACCCTCACAGGGAAGGATTTCTGCCTCACATCTCATCTCCATCTCCCCTCCTGCAGCTTCAGGCCATTCCCCTTGGCCTGTCACTCCCTGCCCTTGTCACCAGCCCCTCTCCAGCTTTCCTGGAGCCCCTGCAGGGACTGGAAGGGGCTCTAAGGTCTCCCCGCAGCCTTCTCTTCTCCAGGCCGAACAACCCCAACTCTCTCAGCCTGTCTCCATGGCAGAGGTGCTCCAGCCCTCGGATCATCTTCGTGGATGTAGGAGAAGAATGAGCTGGAGGTTATGCTGTTTTCTTAGATTCAGCCCCTTAGTCTGCTGTGAATTCCTTTTCTTACTTTGGCTAATTGCTTCATCTTCCTATTGACTATAAAATGGGAAAGCAGAGCAGCTGGGCTTCACCATGGAGCAGTGAGGACACATGGATGCTCTGCTCCAGTGGGAGGAGGTGTCTCCTGTAGACAACCAAATGGGGCAGAGAGGGAGGGAGGGTGGGTTTTTGTGAGGCATTGCAGAACCATCCAAAGCAAAAGAACCTGACAGCATTAGGGGATTTTTGTGGTCTTGGATGTCTGTTGCAAAGCAATATGGCCATATCTGCCATGTTTCAGGCATGGGCACATTTTTGTGAAAAGATAGAAAAATCAGCTGAAGGGAATGTATTTTATATCTCTGATTTTAATTGGAATAAAATAATTATTGGAAGTGTGAGACTGAAGGCATCTAGGACCACAAGGACCATGAAATGATATGGCTTGGGAGGCTGCAGAACAGCACAAACTTTAATAAACTTGCAGTTAAATAACCTTGAGTTAACTCAGGATTTAGAGGTTCAGATTTCATTGGAAATGCATGCGTGGGGCAACTGCTTCTCCTTAAAGAAATTTTGTCCTGAGCAAGTGTGCAGAGAAAAATACAGGAAACAAGGTAAAAAACCAACCGTCTTTACATAAAACTCCTAAAAGCCTGTAGAAAGGAGATAAACAAGAGAAGCTCTATTTTTTGAATTATTAAAATTTTGTCACAGTTATGCATGATATTCTGCAGCTAATTATCCTCAAATACATGTAAGTTTCTTGAAATAAAAAAAGTTGGTTTAAATTACATTGGAAGAGTTATGGCAGATGCTAGGAAAAAAAAATTTGTGAAGAAAAGAGTTAAGCATTGCCCTAACAAGGTTCTTCCCCAACAGGACAGATGGTCACAGGCCAGGGAAGGTAGGGACATAACTGGTCCTGTCTTGGATAAGTAGATGATCTCTGGTTCTCCCTTGCAGTGCTCTTTTCCTCCCCTGGTTAAAGATCGCTTGGCACACAGGTAAATTGAAGTTATATTAAAACCTTAGAGAACTGTTGATTTCTTGCCATGAGAGCAGATTTGAAAATAAAAAGTTATGTTCACTTTTTCTATTTGCACTAGACATTCAAAGGAAGATTAATGTCCATATTAACAGAAAAAACACTTCAATGTAAAATGGCTTACAGTATGATAGGACTTGAAGTGAAATTTGTAAAACTAAAATAAGCTGTCTGATTATTATTATTATTACTGTTTTACTCTAAACTGTAGTTTGCCACATTTACTGTTCTTGGATGCTGTGGCCGCATTGCCACTGCAGTTCTGCGTACTACTAAGACATTTGTATGAAATTGCAGTGTTGCAGTAAGCTATCAAAATAATCCATGCTAATCAACAACTGAATTTCCTGCAAATCTTTTTTAATTTGTCACCAAATGGCAGATTTTACTAACCTACTATGGAGATGGGTGGGAGATCTGAGAGATTCATTTTGCTGCTCCTTGAGAGATTGCATTCTTTCTTCTCTTCAATTACCATATGAGAATCGGCAGCTCTGAGCCAACTGTAGCAGAGCAATAGGCTTAGGAAGAGGTTCTTACTTTCCATCCTGGGGAGGAAAAATGCCATTATCATGAAAACCAAAGTTGGTCAAAACCTGCACGTAGAAGAGACACAAGGGTACGAATCTCGGCAATGTTTTTCTGTCATGTTGTGCAACTTTAGCAACATACCTTGAACAATTCTTTTGTTTCTAGCACTTTGCCTCTGATACCACAATACCTAAGACTCCAGTTGTCTGAGTGGTGAAATGCTATCTCAAATATAGCTCACTTAGATGGTTTTGGGGTTTTTTTCATGTTTTTTTGTTATCAAAACATTTATTTTCCCAAAAACTGTGAGTTCTCCCCACTGAGTTTTACAGTGGTGTTTATTGTATGACCAAGGCGAGAAGAACTTCTGCCGTCACTCTTGAGTTGCTCAATCACATAAACAGATTTTTCACAGAAAATCTTGTTTACAAATTTGTGCTAGAAAACCTAGAAAGATAATGATCATTTTAAAAAAACATAAATTATTTTTCCTATTTGCTTTCTCTTTTTAAAAATAAGTCATGAAGCAATACATTGTTTTATTATACCCTGATGTGGCTACTCTGATCCCATGGTGAATCATAGCCATAACTCATGCAAGTTATAAAAGGCCCAGTGCTGTAAAGCGTTTATGGGCCTTAGGGTTTAGTATGCACTTAACTTCTAAGATGTAACAAAGTCTATGGGATTTGAACATACTTATGGAGAAACCTGAGCTTTGCAGAACGTGGCCATACACCTTGGAAGAAAGCCACTGGCCCTGGCCAACCTCTGCGTGATGCAGTGCAGCTGTGTAGGGTACACAGAGCGTATCACCATCCTGGTCTGCTTGTAGATTCTTAACACTGTTGAAGTTCAAAGTTGATTTTTGTTTCCATGTGCATTAGTTTTATGCTGTGTCAGTTATGGGAGCCTTCCCCCAGAGGAACTGCCAGCCTCCAGATTTATGGGTAGCTTTTTGTCAGTGAAAAGCTACTAGTAGCAGTAAAAGAGGGAGTGAAATCAAATGTTTTGAGCAATTAATCTGGTCGTAATGACTAAATTACCAGAGAGTTAAAAGATGAAGAGTTTCTGCCTTGGAAGAGCTTCAATCTAATCACTGCTGCTAGTCTGAGCCTGTATTACGCTCGCTCTTATAGCCTCCACTGAGCAACTCGTCCTTGTGAGATGTCGAATATTATGTCTCTAATTCCAAGTGTTTGGGCTCATTTCTAAAATAGTCTGTTCTACAGGCCCTGATGATGTAACAAATCAGTGCTGGGCACATCAATGCTGCTTTCACTGCTGGTTATAGCTGTGCCATGAGGATAAGCCCCCAGATCTATTAGGACTCTATTAGGATTTGCAGGGGTGCACATGCTGGATCATTTGTGATTTAGACATCTGCAACTGAAATAGATATATCTGAGCTTGGAGTTTTATGATAGAGACGATTAACTTACGGGGAACTGAGTGCTGCTTTGTCTGTATTTCAAATGTTATGCAGCTAGTGTAGTTCAAAGCTGGTATGAAAGTTGAGACCCAAGCTGGATCATAGTCATTACTGTGGATAGACATGTCCTTTGAATGAGTTGAATAAAATTTTGTAATAGGAGATGGGAGGAGTCTTTAAGTTGGTCACAAATCGTCTAAAAGAGGAGAAAGTACATCATCTTTAGAAGAAAATAAAAATTGCAATAAACGAAAGGAACAAGTCCTACCATGAAAATTTGTTGTGATGGTAAAATTGTGGGCTTGAATTTTCAGCTATTGCAATTTAGTAAAGAATCAAGATGACATGTCTGTTTTTCATTTTTTACATACTCTGATCTTGCAAACTCTTATACACATGTTCAGCCTTTGCCTGTGGTAAATGCCTATGAATAATGAGAAGTACGTGAATATATTTGCTAGGTCAGGAACCTAGCCTGAATTTTTTTTCTATGCAGAGGGGGATACCCCTTTATTTTTTTCCTTTCACAAAAGATAGTCAAACCTGACTGAGATTTCTTGATGCATTCTAAAGACTGTTCTAACACATAGATATATATTCTGTATAGGTAGATAACCATTTAGGTTATAACCATAACCATTCAGATCAAAATTAGAACTTCTTTTTATGTAACCAATTTTACCAACCTGAGCATCCCTGGTGATGTTCATATTCTAGGTGTATGCTTCAAATTCAAAAAAGAGCCGAATAACAGCTTTTGTACCAAAGAGCTCGTGTGCATTTTCTAAATATGCAGTTGGTCAAATAAAATATATTACTTAAAAAATCTTAGATTGTTTAACATTAGAGTATGCTGATTTTCACAGGATCTAGGCATCCGAGGAAGGAAGAAATTTTTTACAGTGAGGGTAATGAAACATGGGACAGATTGTCCAGAGAGATGGTAGATGCCCCATCCCTTGAAATGTTCAAGGTCAGGTTAGACGGGGCTTTGACCAGCCCGATCTAGTTGGAGGTGTCCCTGCTCATGGCAGGGGGATTGGACTACATGACCTTTAAAGGTCCCTTCCAGCCCAAACCATTCTATGGTTCTATGACACAGGACATGTCTATGACAGTTTGATGTAGACATTTTGGGCTCTAATTCTTTCCATGCTCTGAGCTGGGGTGAAAAGAGCAAGCTGTTTAGATTTGCACATAGTGGTGTTCATGCTGTAAATTTTGCTTTTAAAGCAACTTGTTAGCCTAGTTGCAGGCTACGGTCTTTAACATACCTATAATTTTCAGATCAGTGCTTCATCATCTGGAGTACTGGCACAGCTGACACATAACTGTCTGTTGGAGGGAAACCATGACGCGCCCCCAAAGTACTACTTAAATAAACTTCTTCTGTCTCTGTCCTGGTTTCGTCTGGGATAGAGTTAATATTCTTCCTAGCAGCTGGTATAGCGCTGTGTTTTGGATTTAGGATGAGAATAATGTTGATATCACACTGATGTTTCGGTTGTTGCTGGGCAATGTTTACACCAAGTCAAGGACTTTTCAGCTTCTCACACTGCCCTGCCAGCGAGGAGGCCAGGGATGCACAAGGAACTGGGAGGGGACATGGCCAGGACAGCTGACCCCAGTGACCAAAGGGATATTCCATACCATATGATGTCATGCTCAGTATATAATGGGGGGTAAGCTGGCTGGGAGTGCGACTGCAGCTCAGGAACTAGTTGGGCACCCGTCAGCAGGTGGTGAGCAATTGTGCTCTCCATCACTTGTTTTGTGCAGTCTATTCTTCTTATTATTATTATCGTCTTCCTTTTCTGTCCTATTAAACTGTCTTTATCTCAACCTATGAGTTTTACCTTTTTATTTTTTTGGACTCTCCTCCCCACTGAGCATGGGGGAGAGAGCGAAGAGCTGTGTGGTCGTTTTAGCAACCTGCTGGGTTAAACCACGACAGTCCCAAAATGTTGTTTCCATTGTACTTCCTTTTCTTTATCTCAGCAAAACTGCCAATGAATGCAATTGTGCCTGTGCAAATTTAATAAAATAGTAAAATTTTACAGCTTGCATCTGTTCACTTCAAACAGTGACATCTGAACATGCTCTAGTGTTAAAATGCAAACCTAGCTGCATGTGTTCATTTGAATTCTTGTGCACATGATTTTTTTTTTTGCCAAAAGCACTTAGGTGGTAGGAATTTTACAGCCTTTGAGTGACTGTTTCAACCTGAAAAATGCATATATTGGTGAATATGCATTTGATCTGAAAATTATACCAAGTGGCTAGAAAGGTAACACTCCTTAAAGCAGTGTAGGCCTCTAGATGTGTGCAGCAAAGTTGATGAAAAGGTGAAAGAGGTGGAAAGTGGAATCAGAGGTGAAGATGAGAAAAAAGTGTAATGTTGGGTTTCATCTTTTGCACCGTATAACAAAACCCTTTGATGTTGGGTTTGGTTGTTGGTTTTGGTTTGTTTTTTTTTTCTCATTAAAGAGAGGTTTACTTTCCAATTTTGCTTATTATTTTCCTACTTTTCCTTCTGGGACTCATCAGATGCTGTTTAAGGCAATCAAACTATTTTCCTTAGCTCCAGCAAACTTCATATCTGCTTTTCTATGAACATATAGTTTTAAAAGTTTATTTTCCTATTGACCTCCTAACAATGGAGAAGTAAATTGCTTTAATAGTAGTATCTTTAGAGGGTTACCATTTATTGCTTTAATGAAGCTAAAATCTGCTAGGAGAACTTTAACATATGATTTTTTTTAATTGTTGTTTGTGAGGACTTAGTCTTGCACAGTGCTGAAATCTAACCACTGAACTTTAGTCACAGTTCAGCAAATTCTGTAAGTAAATAGTTAACATGTGGCAGTGCCCTTTATTGTCAAGGGAATGACAGAAGTACATTTAAAAACAAAACAAAAGCAATCATTTAAAAGTTTGTTGACTGTCATCGGAGATCGCAGTACTCTTTTCTATGCCATTTCCTCTGTGCTTTGGCTTATTATATTTGATATGTAAATAAGGTATTGTAATACTCACACCAGTTGTTAGCTCTCTCAAGCATTTTGCCTGAATGTAAATTTGGAAAATGACACATGATGTGAAACAGCTTTTGTCTCTTTTTAATCTATATTTTGTGATGTCATATTAAAAGTCTTCATGAAGAAATTTGATTTCCCCAGAAACACCCTGTACATTCAACATTTTTGAGGGGAACTCATTTCCTGTCGCAGCTGATTTCACTCTATTTGGAGATTTATCCTCACACAGCAACAGAGTGAACAGTTCAACAGTTTCATACGTGAAGTCTGCCATAAACACTGGAAGGGACAAGTTGAAATTTTCTTAGGAGGTCTGACAAATTTGAACCAACTCATAAATAAACCAGCATCATTATAAATCGCTGAAAACAGCTGTTTAGGAAAATAAAATGTTAAAGTACGTGAACAAAGAAACATAAAATACTGAAAACTTTGTACATCGCTCAGTAATTCACTGACAAATCTTCATCTATGCTCTGCTGCTGTGCTCCTATTTTGAAAAGGGTAGGACAGAAAAACAGGGAATGCAAGGGAAAAAAGCAAGAATTAGTGGATGTCTTGAAAGATACTGAGATT